CAGGCCCTGGAGTCGCAGGCTTGGCAGCTGCTGCTCTGCTGTCCCTAGCCGCTCATGGTGAGCTGCCTCCCTGTGAATTCCAGCCACTGTCACATCCTTGAGTTCTGTGTCCTGTGACCACCTTGCCAGGGCACTTTGTGAACACGCCTTCCTCTCTATCTTTAAAACACCAGACGATGCAGTTTCAAGGAAAACTGAAATTCCTGTTTGGACAGAAGAAGAAGGCACCGTCGGGAGCCGTGCTCCCCCCGCGACTGTCGCTGTTCTGCATCGTGGCGCCCGTTCTCCTCCCCTCCACAGCGGAGATGAAAATGAGGAGTGCACTTCTGAGGGCAAAGCCCAGGGCAGACACCGTGGCCACCACGGATGCAAAGTGAGTACAACTCGCCCTTCACAGCTGCATGGTGCCTGCTGGCAGCCACCACAAAATGCCTCCATGCTCAGTACTTTCTGTGTCTTCTTTCTTCATTTCCAGCCAGTAATAAAGTAAGTTTTGTGTTGTAAAAGTGATTACACAACATAGGCAGCAACGATTAGGTGAAACAATGTTTTTCAAACTCATTTGCAAACTGGCACCAAACGTTGCCTGTATCGATTCATTCCTAAATCGTCCTGTTACAGAACCAGTTTCAGAATAAGTGGCCTGACCCTGTGTCCTCAAGGGAATGGGAGGTTTACTGTGGCCCCTGCCTTTCTCCACCTCTCGGCTGCCCGCTCTTCGCACTGTCTGTCCACGGACAAGCGGAGGTGGTTCCTGGCTGTAAGAGATGCCGGAGAAATGCGTCCCTGGTGGGCAGATGGAGGGTCAATGGCACAGCTGCCCTCCAGCTGGTCCTCGTCCCTGGCCAAGCCAGTCCTATCCCACAGCTTTCTCAGCCTTTCAGAAGTAGAAAACACCCTGTGGGTCCCCAAGCTTGTTGGTACTGGGGACCAGTTTGGTGGAAGACAGTTTTTCCACGGACTGGGAGTGGGGGGATGGTTTCAGGATGATTCAAGCACATTGCCCTTACTTACTGTGCATTTCATTGCTGTTTTATTACGTTGTAATATATAATGAAATAATTATACAACTTGGCATAATACAGAATCAGTGCTGGCTCTGAGCTTGTTTTCCTGTAACTAGGCGGCCCCATGGCGGGGGGTGATGGGAGACAGTGACAGATCATCAGGCATTAGATTCTCATAAGGAGCTCGGACCTAGGGCCCTCCCTCACATGCACAGTTCACAACAGGGTTCACGCTCCTGTGAGAATCACGGCCCAGCTGAGCTGACAGGCGGCGGAGCGCCAGCGGTCGTGTGAGCAATGGGTAGTGGCTGGAAATACAGATGAAGCTTCGCTCGCTTGCCCATGGCTCACCTCCCACTGTGCAGCTTGGCTCCTAGAGGCCATGGACGGGTACCCATCTGTGGCTGGGAGCTGGGGACCCCTGCCCTCGGGGATTCATGTCTGCAGTTTCCTAGAATGCGTTAAGTCTGTCTTGCGTGCTGGGAGAGATGTAAATGCTGTGTGTATAGAAACTGTGTGTTCTGCCTGCTGGGAAGACACCAGTGAGGTAGGGCTGGGGCTGCCAGGATGCCAAAGATCCAACTTCCTCTCAGAGGATTGTGCAGGACACCTTCCCCAGCCACCTGGGCAAGTCACTGCTCTTGCCACTTCCTCCTGGGACAGCCTGGTGAGGCGGGGGCTGAATGCAGGGCAGAGGGGTGGTCTGGGCTGGCCCTGCCCCCTGGCCCCTGGCCCTCAGCCCCCGGGTCCTTGGCTGTTGGTGAGGTGCTCCTGCTCTGTGACTCCGAGACCCCCCGACTTGTCCTACTCGGCGCTGCAGGCCCAGACCCTGGTAACCAAGCGCAGCTCAGCCTGCCCTGCGATCCTGCAGCCGCTATTGGGCAGCCCGCTTTGTTCATGGCCTCCCCACTCTGTGGGTAGCAAATACCGAGTGGGAAAGAAATCTTAGCAGGCATCGAATTCAGCTCCCCAACCCAGTGGGAATCTCTGCCATAACCCCCAGGAGTAATTGGCTGAGGCTGCACAAACCCCACACAGAAAACATTGCTGGGTCCAGACAGAACCTTGAGAACAGATTCTTCCTGGTGTGACTCAAATCTCACTGCCTGGGGTTGCCATGGCCCTGTCTTGGCTGAGCGCTCTCTGCTCTATTTGCCTTGCCCCTGGGTTATGGTTTCCAGATATGTCCTGATTCCGATGCTTCTCCTCTGGGCATGGACAGCACCCGGGACGTTCACAGCAGGTGGAGCCATGCGGACTGGAGACGTCCCCGCCCTGTTCTGGGCGCTGGCTTCACTGATGTACCTGCTGTGGCACCCGCGTTAGGGCGATCCTAAGTTGCAGTCACGTGCGTGGCCTTGTAGTCTGACTTTGGATTCTACCTGCATTCCTTAACTTCCGTTAGTATTAAATTTCATTCTTTTAGATGCAGTCTCGATTGACCTTGTCAGAGTCCAGGCTCCCGAACTAGTTTGAGATCTGGGACTCAGCAGCACCCAGCATGCTGCCGTCCCTCCCG